AACCTGGGCCCGGAAGCACCCATCCCAGAAAGGGGGGACCCCTCACTGACCTATCAGACCTCCAGTGTGGAAGGATCTTTTCTTCCTTCCTTCCTTCCTTCCTTCCTTCCTTCCTTCCTTCCTTCCTTCCTTCCTTCCTTCCTTCCTTCCTTCTTTCTTTCTTTCTTTCTTTCTTTCTTTCTTCCTTCCTTTTCTTCCTTTTCTTTCTTTTCTTCCTTTTTTGGTGTCCCACTAACAGAGGCATAAACAGAGTCAAAAACAGAACCTTCTGCCTGCAGGAGTTTCTTCCCCAGGACCTTGGGACAGTTGTATCGACTGGTAGGGGCTGGGGGCAGGGAGGTGATGGTCACTGTGGAAAGTCCCCTGTGGCCCCATCAGTGCCCACGGGCATAGCCCCCTCTGCTCTGTGAATGTGAGAGGTCCTTGTTGATTCCCCCTCCACCAGCTCAGCCTCATCCCTTCTTTCCCAAGGCCACCACGCCTCTTCAGATCATCCTCACTTCTTGCCCGGACAATTGCTGCTGTCTCCTGGTTGATTTCCCCATCTTCAGTCTTTCCCCATCTCTGATCTACCCTCTATACAGCTACCAAACCACTCCTCCTGAAGCATTTCACTGCTGAAGAAGATTGACTGGCCCCGGCTTACCTCTTGGATGAAATAGCAACGCCTCTGGCTGCCAGTTAAAGTTCCTCACTGTCTGGCCACAGCCCATCCGCCCAGGCTAATCGCCCGGGATTCCAAATCCTTTATGAACTCTGCTTTCTCAGCGGAGCTAACCTATTGGCCGCTCCTCACGCTGGACATCTCATCTGTGCACTGGCTGTCTCCACTACCTGAGTGCCCTCCCTCCTCGTCTTCACCTACTTCCCATCCAGGTTCAGCTTCCAGGCCGCCTCTCACCTGGAGACTATTCTCACCACCCCTCCCCCTTTAGTTGCCAAGTGGCCTACCAAATTACTTTGTATTTTCATTGTCCATATTATGTATTAACTTACCTGGGTTCCCTGGCTGGCGGTCACCAGAAAACTGGACCCCACTCCTTGACCCTTCAGAAGTTTTGCCTTGCTCAGCCATCTCCAGCCAGCCCATTGGCCCTGTACTGTCCCCTTCCCCCAGTCCCTTCTACCTCACCCTTCTGAGATGTCTTCTTCCATTAGCATTCAGCTCTTTGAGTATAGGGACAGGGTAGCATGCTTTTATGTAAACCCCATGCTTAGCTGTGTTTGACACATAGTAATGGCTTAATAAATACTTTCTATCTTGTGCCTTCACTCTAGTACAATGTAAGCTCCCAAGGGGCAACTAGTTAGCCTAGTAAGTAGGGTGCTAGACTTAATAGCTCTATGACCCTAGGCAAATCATTTAACCCCTCAGCCTCAGTTTCCTTATCTGTAAAATGGTGATAATAATAGCACTTACCTCCCAGGGTTATCGTGAGGATCAAATGTGGTAATATTTGTAAAGTGCTTTGCAAACCATAAAGTACTATATAAATACTAGCTATCATTATTATTATTATTATTACTAGTGTTTTTATTAATAGTTAGCATTTATATGTTATAATAATACTATATAAATGCTAGCTATCATCATCATTAGTTAGCATTTATATGTACTATAATAATACTACATATGTTAGCCATTATAAAACTGTTAATATTATTTTGATTACTGTTAGCACAATTATTATTATATTATGTGATTAATATATTATCATTAATAGCTATTATTAATAATAGCAAATGTTTATGCAGTATTATATAGTATATATGAATATATACTACATATTATACTGTAAATTATATAACACTACATATTAACAATAGCTAGTATTTATGTAGTATCATAGCATATATGAATATATACTACATATTATACAGCACTGTATATTAATAATAGCTAGTACTTATATAGTATTATTGTATTATAAATAAAAATAACACTTTTGTCTGTTTCCCTAGCGCCTACTTTTGCAAAGTTCATGGCACGTAGTAGATAAGTTATTAAATGATTGCCGAATGAATGAAATGAGAATAATAATAATCCAGTTCTTTGTGTATATAAGATTTATGCCTATGTACAAAATCAGTAAACATTGGTCAGAATGGATCCAGTCTAAATGTGGGACTTTTAAATTTCATTTATGAAGTCAGCAGAGTATTCATAAATCACCCAGAAAGTTTTATTCGGATCATTTTAATAGCCTCTTGACTTCATTATCTGTGGGAATTTGGGGGTCTTTCAAAGTAAACTCCAGTCATCATTCTGTTTGCTCCTATGAAAAAATGTAACGGAGTAGAAATCTTTGGGCCTTCTAACTTTTGCTCCTTATCTCCATGTTTGAGAAAGAGCTCACACAAGAGAACAGAGCCCTTGGGTCTTTCCCAGAGGTAGGGGAAGGAAGCCTCCTGGAATTGGACCCCAGGGTATTGAGAGTAAGTCCTACCTTTGTGAAAAGTTCACCTTTTTTACTTGGATCACGTTAGCTAGGTCTCACAAGCCAGCCCTTCCTCTGTCAAAAAACATTTTTGAAATTTGTTTTCCTTTGCTGCAGGGCAGTTGGATTTATGGGATTCTGTGTGTATTTCTTTTCTATTCTCATCCCCTTCAGGAAGGTGTACAAATTACAACTTAATTTTCAGTTTTTAAAAAAGTGTTTATAGTTTGACAGCAGAGTGTGGGGATAGGTGTTATGTGCCTGCACATGTGTGCATTCATGCATGGGTCTGTATATATGTTTGTATGTATGTATGTTTCTCCAGTGGACTGTGTCCATGGGACTGGGAATTCGCTTTTGGGTTTTGTCCTGCTTGGAGGCAAACCTGGAAAAATTGTGCACAAGGGAATTTGGGGGAGCTGTTACAGGGGTTACTGATATTTGTTTGGGAACATGTGCAGGGGTTGTCATACCCTGTACTTAAATTACTTTCCCCATCAGCACTTTGGAAGAAGTGGGAGATCTTTGGCAGAGTGTATGGATAAGCTTTCTTGTCTAGAACTCAGGTGAGTCCCATCTGGTCCTTGAGTGGTCAATCAGCAAGCATTGATTAGACACCTACTATGTGTCAGGCATTTTGCTAGGGGCTGAGGATATAAAGACACATACATACACACATTACCTCATTCGGCCTTCCCAAAAAACATCTCATAAGTTAGGTGCAACTAGATGTGAAAACTGAGTCTCTGAAAAGTGAAATATGTACCTATTCATCTGTGTATTGACTTCTCCTTTAGAATGTCAGATCTTTGAGAACAAAAACTGGGGGGGGGGTTGTGGTTTTTTTTTAACTTTTTTTTCTATTCCCAGTCCTTAACACAAATACCTAACATGTAGTAAGCACTGAGTAAATATTTATTGATTGACTTGTCCAAGCTCAGAAGGTTTTCTAGACAGATGGTAGATCCAGAATTTGAAACCAGTTTTGATTCCTAATTCAAGTGTTGTTTTCCCCCTATGTTACTATATACTGTCTCTAAGAGATAATGATGGATTCACATTATTCGAAAACTACTTTGGTGTCTCCGGACAAAGAGTTCTATTAAAGGGAGTGTGACATGTTGAATATTTTGTGGTTTTGCCATTATCTGGGGCCAAGACATATTTGAAGTAATTGTCTTTTTTTTATGACCTGCTAAATAAATGTTAAAACTTGTATGGCTTAAAGAGATAGTATTGACTGTAAATGTCTATCAGTTGCTTGATTCTGGTTGTTGTGGCTAAAGCATGATAAGAAGGAGAGCATGGGGTCAGCCAGGAGGCTGCCTCTCAGAGCATACCTGTTCTTTAGTGGATTCTCTGAGGAATCCTGGACTGGTTCTGGGATGTTCAGGGTTGGAAACTCAATTTTGTCTGTTTGCCCAAGAGCAATTAATCTCTTAGGACTAAAAAAACTCCAAAGAGACCAAGTCATAAAACAGAATTCCAGTTTATTAATTTGAAACCATACTTGTGAGCACCCCAGTCCTGATTGTCTGCACAAGGCATGACCTTCTGGTGGTAGGGCCTCTTAAGACACTAAGTTTTATGTTAGAAAATTGTTTTGTGAGCCCAAAATAAGAGGGAAAGAGGGGGCTGGGTGTTCCTCAGGAATATTTCCATCCTCACAGTGGTAGCCTGCTAAGTTTCCTTACTTCATTTCAGAGAGATTTTTGGGTCTAGATAACTGATATCAGTCACTAGGTCCAGAGTCCCTAGTGCTGTGGACCATGCTGGGCAGACGCGGACTTGTTTTCTTTTTAGTCCACTGTCTTCATAGCTGCCCAATTGACAGGCTACATTTAAAGATCTGGCCTGGTCCCTCCTTTCCATGCATTTGATATCTCTTTTCCTCCTTCCCCTTTCCTCCTCCTCCTCCTCCTCCTCTTCCCTCTCCTCCTCTTCCTCCTCTTCTTTTTCCTCCTCCTCCTCCTCCTCATCGTCCTCCTCTTCCTCCTCCTCTTTTTCCTCCTCCTCCTCCTTCTTCTCTGTTTCCTCTTCTTTCTCCTCCTTCTCCTCCTTCTCTTCTTCCTCTTCTTTCTCCTCCTCCTCCTCCTCCTTCCCTTTAGGCACTGAACATTCCAGCCAAAATGTCCTCTGTTCTTTCACTTGACATGCCTTCTCTTTCCAGTGTCTGGAATGTTCTCCCTGCTCATTGCTGCATCTTAGCTTCTCTTGTTTCATTCAAGGCTTAGCCCAGGTACCATTTCTAGGAGGAAAGATCTAGACCTGGGAGGAACCTCAGAAGCTTTCTAGTCCAATCTCTTCATTTTTAGAGATCAAGAAAGTGAAGCCCAGGGTTTCATGGCCAGTATGTGTTGGAGGTGGGATTTGAACTCAAATTCTCTGACTCCAGAAGCCAGGGGTCTTTTCACTGAACCACACTGTCCGTTACACCTTAGAATGTTGGCTCTGTGCAGGCAGAGACTCACTCTTCAATTGTCTTTGTATGGTGATTATAAAAAGTAAGTCATGAATAAATTCTTGTTGATTATTTGATTGATTGAATTCTGTTTCCTTTAGGTGTCAGAAGATTCTGTGGTTGAGTTTCCAGAAGGAAACTTCTCCCTATCAGCTAAAACAGAGGAAAGGAGCTTTCCCCATGGAAATGTTCACTTGTTGCAGTGGGCTCAGAAGGAATATGGTGCAGTTACCTCTTTCACTGAACTCAAGATATCGAAGAATGTTTATATCAAAGTGGGTGAAGGTAAGTTGATTTGGTTGATGAGAGCCCATCAATTAAAGATGGCAGCCAGTTCACCTTTTCTTTGCTGGGACGAGGACCATGGAGAGAATTTCTCAGAGTCTGGGATACATATCTCAGATGAGATAATATATGGAGAGGGCTTTGCAACCTTAAAATGCTATGTAAACATTAGTCATTATTCTTATAACTACCATCTCACAGAATCCCAGTAGTCTATTTCAAAATGTTCATTTGTATAGAAGGTTTAATTGGGTTACTCAGGGGTTACGTGCAAGTTCTAGAGTCAAGGTGACCAGAATTCAGATCCTGATTCAGATACTTATTAGCTGTGGGATCCTGGTCAAGTCACTTAATCTTTCTCTGCCTCAGTTTCCTTATCTTTAAAATGAAGGGGTTGTGCTAAATTGTCTTTGAAAGTCAAAGTCTGGGATCTGGTTATCCATAAGAAAGCAAGAACTCTTCACCCACCCACCCAAATCCACTATATTGCCTTGAAAATTGGTCCTGAGTGTGTGTGTGTGTGTGTAATTTCAGTGGCCACAAGGGCCAAAAGAAATCGTGGATCTGGAGTGACTCCTAGAACAAATACCCAGATCACCTGAGCCATGTTATCACAGCATTGTTGTGAGAGGTAGAGAATGAATAGAAGATGGCGCCACAGTTCTACACAAAGAGCGTCAGGGATTGTGAAGCTGAGATTGAGCCGAGGGGGGTGAAGGAAGTTAAGGATGACTTAAAAAGTTGACTGCTGTTGGTGTGGAGCTTGGGAGAAAAAGAGAGGTCAGATGCTTCGTTTGGGATGGATAGCCCAAGGATAACTAAGAGAGCCAAAGCTTCTTTCATTATTCCTTTTGTTTTCCTGGTTGCATTGTAAACAGCAACAGAAATGATGAGTCATTGTGTGACCCTGGGCAAGTCACTTAACCCCATTGCCTGCCCCCCCCAAAAGAAATGATGAATCAGGAGTTGGTACCCAGCATAGGTACTAAGAGAGTGCCTAGCTTCCGTTTATGAAGTCAAGGGCCCTGGCCCAGATGAGTTACGTCTTCTGCTCCGGAAAGAGCTGGCAGCCCTGTGCTGTCTTTGTCTTTGACTGTCCTGTGCTGTATTGTCTTTGATGGATCATGGAAGGTGGGATTGCTGCTGCAAGGTTGGAGAAAGGCAGATTTCCCAATTTCCAGGAAAAGGGAATATCCCAAGGCAGGTTCCCCACCCTTGGCCTGAGGGGCAGGAGGTACTGAGAAGGTATGAATTTCAGAGCTGATTTGATATTGTAGAAAGATGAGTTTCTGGAGATGATGGTAAAGTCTAGGTGAACAGGGCAGGTGAGAAATTCCCAGTTTGGTAAACTTAGGCAGACAGAGGTTAAATGATTTGTCCAGGCTCATACAGCTAAGAAGAGTTTGAGGAGGGATTTGAATTCAGGTTTTCCTGCCTCTAGGTTGAGAGCTCTAGCCACTGTGCTACCTACCTGCCTCTGACAGATGGTGCAGCCTCTCACAGGGTAAGGGCAATGGGCCGAATTTATTAATGAGATGAAATTAAAAAATAGAGATAAATGAGAGATACAAAAAAAATCATTTTTCACAAGTACAAGATGGAAGAGGCATATTTAGATGACTTTGAAAAGAGAATTTAGTGAGCACTTATTAATGGTAGTTTTGAAGGAAGATCTGGGGCTTTTAATGGACTGCAAGCTTGGTCAGCATATGAGGCAGCATGTGATCGGGCGGCCCCCCCCAGCCAAAAAGAAACTTCTTTTGGGATCTTGGGCTACATTAAGAGGGGCATACTTTCTAGGAATGAGCAAGTGCTTAGCACAGTAACTGGCACATAGTAGGTGCTTAATAAATGCTTGCTCATTGATTGATTAAAATGACGATCCCACTGTATTCTGCCGTGGTAGACCACATCTGTAGTGTTCAGTTCTGGGCATCACAGTTGAAGACGAAAATAGCCAGATGGCTTCCAGGCTGGTGAATGGCTTTGAGCCCCTTTTATATATTATCCACCACAATTGATGAGAATTTAAGCTCTTTGAGAACAAGGACTAACCTGCTTATTTTTGTTCGTGTCCCTCTTCCTCAGTCCGGTGCTTGGCACACAACAAATGATTAGTAAATGCTTTTCTCATTCAATGCCTGGTGCATAATAAATGCTTGCTAATGCTTTCTTTCATTCATTCGTGCCAAGCACCGTGCTGGTTTTTAACCTGGGGTCCGTGAGGTCTGTGGATCAATTTCAGGGAGTCTGTGAACTTGGATGAGGGAAACAATTATTTGTTGTCACTAAGCTCTAGCTAAAATTTAGCATCTTTCAATTATTTAAAATAAATTTTCAGTTATTTAAAGTATTTTTCAAATGTTTTATTGGCGCTCTTTTATTCTTTTTTCATCTCTGTGACTTTCCCTTTCCCCTCCCCTCCCCCCGACAAGAGAAGCTTTTCTTTTTAACAAATAAGTCCAGTCAAGAAAATCAGTCAACACGTTGGCATGTTGGGCTTGTCTTAAGATGTGTGTCTTAGCAGCGTGGCGTAGTGGATTGGGTACTGAACTTGGAGGCATGAAGACCTGGGTTCAGATCCTGTCTCAGGCACTTATTGGCTATGTACTGCTGGGCGACTTATCTACCTTTCCTGTACCTCAGTTTCCTCATCTTAAAATGGGACAGTTAAAGATCTTTTCCAGCTCTGAACTGTAATGCTATGGCTTCTCTGCCCAGAGGCTGGAAGCAGACTTCATGGTCTTTCTTCTGAAGCCTTCATTGATCATGCATCGATAGGAGCTCTGAAGGTTCCTCAGTCGTCATATACATTTTTACTTGCTTCTTGTTTTTTATTATTTCTTGTGGTCCTTTTCCTTTCCTGTTGCCAGCCACTACCCTATCATTCAAGCCGTTATTATCACACCTTTAGGCAATAACAAGAAAAAAAGGGGATAATTGATAGAATAAGATTATAGAGTGTGGGGGAAGAGAAGAAGTAGGTACAGAGCCATAACTAGGGTGGGGCAATCAGAGCTTTGACCCAGGGCCCTGAAATTTAGAGGAGGTACTTCAGTACCTTAGAAACAACTGAACTTTGCAACTGGTTAGTAAAAATAATGAGTTAAAATAGAAGGCTACTAGATTGCCCCAGGTGAACTCTTCCCAGCTGGACCTTGCCCTGCTCACCTATACCTTCACCCCTACCATAGCCTTTCCAGCAGTTGTCTCATACTGTCCCAGAGAATCTGATCTGATGATATGTTTTCTGACACTTTCCCTGGTATAACATTGCTAGTTATGGCTTTGGAAGGGAAGTGTAGGAGGAACAGTGGCCCAATCAGTACAAAAGCTTTCTGGTCACTGTCATGCCATTAAACTTGAAATCAAAGATGACTTGTGATTTTATGTGATAGTAAGATTTCAGTTAAATATTTATAGCTGCAGAAAAACCTTCAAGTCTTTTTATATTCATGGTGTTTGTTTCATGGACAGTTACATTATTGGAGAAAGAGCTGGTGTTTTGCCTTGATAAGAGACTGCCCGTTTCAGTCTCCTTGCTTTGGAGAGGGATAGAAATAACCCATGACTTAATTATGAAAGTCTATTGTTCTACTAACCCCTTTCATCATATTTTTGGTCAGGTTAGGATAGGATATAATTAGAGCCAAGAATAGCTCCCTGGAAATAATAAAAAGATTGGGACAGATGCTGTCCTGCAGCCAGGGGAGTGTGTAAGAATTAGACTGTTATAGGTCCTTTGTGGCCAGGTGCCTTTTGCTGATCCAGGATCTGTGCTGGGGTGCCTACGTGGTGCCAGCATTGTTTGCACACCGGACCTCCAGTCTTTTTTTTTTTTTTTTGTAGGGGGAAGGGAGCCTTGGGTTACATAAAAATGTAACAGAGATCAAGGGACCATAATAAAATATAGCCCTAATAAAATAAATAAAATAAAAGCTGGCTGCCTGGCAGAGTAGAATCTAGTGGGAAGTGGAATTTCAGACCAGGCTTGGATCAGATGGGTAGATGTGGGTCACTGAAGTCACCTGGAATCAGGAAACTGATAAAGGGGGCAGAGGAGCCAGATCCCTTGGGCAGGAAATGAATATCTGAGCCTTAATCCTCTGTAGAGTTTGTGGAAGGTGTCCCCTCTGGAAAGCCCAAAGCTTAAAGCACACACAGATGGGGTCATTTGTTTCCTTAAATAGGAAATTAAGGACCCGATATGTGTCCTCCATGGTAGGTAGAGGAACAGGAACATAGGAAGTGTCCCAGTCTTGCCTTTTACATACCTAGCTTTTAAGTGTTCAGGGCACTTTAAATGATGATAATGATGATAATTAGCATTTATATGTTTCTTCCTAGGTATGTGCTAAGTGCTTGACAAATATTATCTTGTTTAATCCTCTCAACAACCCTAGAAGGCAGGTACCATTATCATCCCCCTCCTTTTACAGTTGGGGAAACTGAGGTAAACAAGTTAAGTGACTTGCCTAAGGTCATACAACTAGTAAGTTTCTGAGGTGGGATTTGAATTTATTGTTTATCGCATTTGACCCATACAACCCTTTGAAATAAGGGCTATTATTATCCCCATTTTACAGGTGAAGAAACTAAGCCCAAGAGTGGTTAAGCCACTAGCCCAGGCAGGGTTCCACAGCTAGTAAGTATCAGAGGCAGGATTCAAACTCTATCCAGCTCTATCTCAGGGGTATGCCACATACAATGGCAGTGCAAAGCTGGGCAAATCACTTAACCTCCCAATCTCCTAGCAGATGCCCCGTGGCATAGGTGGAGGGAGATTTCCAGTTGGAAATTCCCAATATCAATGAAATCACAGGTCTGCCCTACCCTTTCCTCCTCCCCAGATAAAAGTCAGAAATTAAGTAAAAAGTACTTAAGTGGCCAAGGCCATGGGTGAGTCTGGGGAAAAGAACACGGAAGGAGAAGTTGGTTTCTGGTTGGCTTTCTTAGTCTGGTGGGCTTTCCCTTCTTTCCCTTTTTGTCCTCTTTTGTTC